TGGGCTCATGTCTTCTGCCAGCCAGTGTACCAGAATGTCTTAATTCAATTACATAATTTATACATTATATAAAAGATATTATAACATTTAATAATATTTAAAAAAAGACATAATTATAGCCAGGCAGTTGTGGCACACAGCTTTAATCCCAGCTCTTAGGAGGCAGAGGCAGAGGCAGGTGGATTGCTGTGAGTTTGAGGCCAGCCTGGTCTGTAGAGAGAGTTCCAGGACAGCTATAACTGTTACACAGAGAAATCATGTCTCAAAAAAGAAAAGAAAAAGAAAGAAAGAAAGAAAGAAAATCTATACACTTAGTATAGGTGAGGGGAATTCAGTTGTATGGTGGAACACAAAACAAATACACAGAACTGAGAGCCTTGCACAATTGGATGGGTCCTTGAGAAAGTACAGAATAATGCACACCATACATTCTGCAGATGCTTGCATTCCTGTCATTTATTTGCCAAGTATTGTGGTCGCATAAGGTACATAGTAGGGAGCTAAGCAACTGCTCTAAAGATGACAAATGGGACCAGTTACCTCCAGGCACCAGGGAGGGCCTCTGTGTAGAGGTGGGGCTCAGCTGAGCATTTCCAGTGAAGGGGAAGCTGCTCCAGGCCTGGGACCCAGCTGTCTGGCTCCCACACCTTGAACAAGCTGGGTCTGTTCTGGGAACACAAAGGCACAGTGTGCCCTTAGTGGCAGGATCTGATGGTGGAGTGTTCAAAATGAGGGTGGACAGCTGGCTTCAGGTCCGGGAAAGGGCGAGGCAGATTGGATTTCTAAAAGGTCATGCTGGCTGCCATGCAGGGGAAATGGTCAACAGGCTTTAGGAATTTTTATTTCCTTCACTTTCAATGTGCTGCTTCTGTTTGTTTGTTACTCTCCCATTACATTCCAGAGAAACTGGCTTGGCCTGACTGTCCACCTTTACTCCCAAGCTTCCCCCTCAGTCTTGGTTTCCAGAGTCACTCTGGGAAGACAAGCCTTGTCTGGCTTAATCTTCCCTTGTCATTGTCTTGAAATACCTCATACATGTTGGAGAGTAGCCTTTCATTTTGTACTGGGCCTCACAGATGGGGTCACCTCATACCCCAGGTCCATCAGTGGCCAGCTCTGGCTTAAGGATCTCTCTGGACCCTCCACTCTTTTTAAATGAAATCTATGGTGTGTAATGAGGCAGCGATCTCTAAAAGGGAGCTGGGGAAGCTGCCTTTGCCTCTGTAAAGTGCTGAATTCCAATAGAGGTAGGGGTGTGTGTGTGTGTGTGTGTGTACAGAATGAGGAAGGGCTCATGGGAGTCCTTAATTCCAATAGAGGTGTGTGTGTGTTTGTGTTGTGTGTGTGTGTGTGTGTGTGTGTGTGTGTGTGTGTGTGTGTGTGTGTGTGTGTGTGTGTACAGAATGAGGGAGGAAGGGCTCATGGGAGTCCTTAGGGTTTAAGAACTGTACTGTGAGGCTTCTGGCCTTTTAATTTGACAGATGAGGCTTCTCTGTGGGAAACTTTTGTAGGTCCTCTTATGGAGTATACTGTTCACCGGAGGCCTTGGATCTGTGTGGTCACAACCTGGCTCATTACAGTGGCAGCCCTGTTGCTGATAGGACTCCTCTACTCTTGGTATTTGACAAGGCACTTATAATTTCAAAACAGAAGAAAATCTTGATTATCCTGAAGGTCAGGTGGGACACCTTCAGGACTCCCTCTGAGCACCATTGGGGATGTAGCTATGGCCAAGTGAACATCAGACGGGTCAGCTCTGAAAGAAAACAAGGTTGCAGGGGAGAGGAAGGGCTGGAGTGAAGGACGAGCTATATGGCTAATATCCTTAAAGGAGACATGGAAGTATCTGCCATTCACATCTGTCCCCAAGCACTGCAGATTTCTGTGCAGGAAGCTGATGATGCTCACAAGGCTCTTGGCTAATGGCTAGCTCTGAGTTGAAAGCTTTTGAAGGCTTCATGCTGGTTCCCAGGGCTTCCAAAGACAGCAAAGAGCTTGTGAGTTGACCTCTCAACTCCCATTGATTCAACCAGGAATAGTAGCCTAGGATTGCAGTGTGGCCACATTATTAGTCATGATACATCCAATTCCTAGCCTTGGACTGAGGTCTCTTATTTTCTTAAAAAAGGAGACAGTAGTTAAGTCATTAGAGGGAGAGAGAGAGGAAAGGAGGGAGGGAGGGAGGAAGGGAGAGAGGGAGGGAAGACATTCAGGCCTCTTTGCTCCAGCTGACCTTGGTTGCCAGTCACTGCAGGCATGTCTGGTTGAGGGCACAGTTCTTAGGTCTCCTCTGGAGAATCGCAGTGTTAGAAGACTGAGGAGTTCCTGCTGGGCATAAGGCTCTGCAGCCAGAAGTGTCAGCTAAATGAGTGGCCTGCATGTCTTTAAGAGGGCAGATGGTGAGGCTGACCTCTTGCAAGGGGGCAGCAGGGGAGATAGGAGTGCAGAAGAGAGACTGGGGCCTCTGGTTCTCCCCAGGTTCTGCTGGTGACCCAAGAGGTCCCATAGCTGCTTCCTAGAGTCTGAGCCAGGTTCTGGGTGTGCACAGTTGGGTTGGAACAGTAGCTTTGACACCAATCCCTGGTCCCTTCCTGGGCAACGAAGACACAGACAGAGGAGAACGACCCTCTTGCTTCATGATCAAGTTCATACTGAGAACCACTGTGGGACCTCCTATCCCCCTTTAAGGCAGGATTTCATATATCCCAGGTTGGCTTCAACCTTGATATGCAGCCAAGGATGACCTTGAATTCCCAATTGTCCTGCTTCCTCCTCCCAAGTGCTAAGATTATAGGTGTAGCCATCATGCCCCATTAATGAGATGCCAGTGATCAGTCTCAGGGCTTTGACCAACTGAGCTACATCCTTAGCTTTGCCTGTGGTTTTAATGTCCCTTCTGTCTACTTTCCTTCTGTCTTCAATGTTCTTATTGTATTTCTTATGCATCAGCTACACAACTAATGACACTGGGTCCAGTCAAGTGTCCAGTGGTTAAAGTAAAGGAGACAGATAGTAACAGGAAATGCTAGCTAGTGTGACCTCTGGCTCACACTCTCTGACCTCTGACCAGTCACTGGAGTGTGAAATGATACGGTGTGCACAATGCCCTTTGCCTCCTGTCCTGTGTGTTTTGAAGTAAGCATGAGACTTGGTCTGTATCTCATGATTGTTCTGAAGGCAACTCGTGTCATAGTTGAGGAGGTCAAGGCCCATTATGCCAAGATACATGTTATGTGACCTAGTTCTCTTTCTATCATGACCTGTCCCCCAGAAATGGCATGTTTTTGTCTTGATAGAACAGATTTACTTTACTTTTACCTTTGCTCTCTCTGTGTGCTCAAGAAACCCAATGGGAGAAGCAGCTGAGCCCCTTTGATAGCTGAGAACATTAAGGCCGGGGAACCAGCCTGTGAGAAATGTAAACACCAGCCAGCCACTTGAAGCCACAGGCCTGGCAGCCTTCACCCCCTGTCCCTCTAAACCTTCCAGGTCCAGCATCAATAGACACAGAAGGGAGGCTTTGAGAAATGCTGGCAAGGGATGGAGAAACATTCAGAAAAGCAACAAGCTGGCTACCACATGCCCTCCTTACCCTTTCCTCCCCTGTGGTGCTGTGCGTTTGGGACTCACTAGCTAGTAACCTAAGCACATATCTGGCAACACTTCCAGGTTTCCCTGCAACCTCAGGCCAACCTTCTTGAAGCTGCCTGTCAATCTGGACGAGGAGACCCCACACTGGCTTCCTCAACTCTTTGTCTTAGTCCCCTGGGGGCTTTCTGGGCAGTGAGAAGAAGTGTCGGGCTTGAAGGGTGGCCCATACCAGGTCCTCTGCAACGTTAGGGATTGTGCTATGCTGTTGAGCAGGAACCAGCATGAGCAGACCTCTCATACTGCTGTCCCTGTGGTGTGATGCCAGCCCGTTCCACCTGAGAGCTGGCTCAGGAGAAGTCACAGCAGGAGTTACCAACCTTTGAGCTAAAAGAGCCACCAGGATCCAAGCCGCCTAGAAACCTATGTGCAAGGGACAGCCTCAAATTTAGAAACCATCCTCCTTATGGCAGCGTATAGTGACATGCAATCCCCTAAGGCCTGATTTCTCTAGTCTCAGACTGGCCTTGTACCACATGATGCTAAAGCCAAGTTCATCAGCAAGGTGGGTAATACCATTACCCTGCACTCACAGTACAGGCTGAGTACTGTGCTACACATCTAGCCCTGGATCCCTTGAACTCCCAACAAGCTGAGAAGGTGGGTGACCTCTTCTTAGGAGCAAGTCACCAAGCCTCAGAGATGTCATCTGATTTCCCTAGATAGCCAGTGAATAAAGGAACCAGAGCTTGAGCTGAGTTCTAGGCCCAAACCCAAGTTCTGTGTTCTTCTCATTGCATATAGAAGCTAGACTTTTGCCTATCTGTTGATTATTTAGTGACCCTACACACCCCTATTGTTTAATAGTGGATCTAGGAGAGGCTGTAACAGATATACAATTCCTCTCAGTATTTAGAAACAAAAGATCAACCAGGCTGCAGAGCTGTAACTGAGAGCCCATTCAATCCCTGTCCCCCACCCCCACTTCATAACCCTGTATCATTCACCCCAGTGAGGCAGAGCCCAGGTACCTAAATTCCAAGGCTCAGTTGCCAGGACAGCTTGCTCTGGTGCTCCCCGGTCACTCTCCTTGCCTCCAGCTTCTCCCAGAACACAGCCTGACAGCGTGAGGCAGAACAGACCAGTCTTGGAGCAGTGTTTGGGCTGAGAGCTCCTTTGCAACTGTTCTCAGACTAGGGAGCCCTAAGTGGGTCCAGGGCTGAGGCAGCCACCCCCAAAGGGCGGGCATTAAACTCCCTGAGATGGGAGGCAGTTTTGCATTCCTGTTTATTCTGATATCAATAAAAAGGAACTGTTGCTATAGAAACTGTTATTTCACTTGGTGAGTGGCCATGTCCACGACTCAGAACACCATGTCCAAGCCACCCTGATTGAGAGGCACTAATAAATACCTGTTTTGTCAGATTGGTGAGGAGTAAGAATCATGCCAAGCTTTGTTCTGAGCAGCTTCTAGCTGCTGTGGAGGAATTTCCTTTTTTTGTAAGGGAGGAGAGTCCAGCACTTCCTTCAAGGAACGGGAAACCACTCTTCCTGCTGCAGCAAGGAATTCTTTCAAACATGGCTCTTGGGGCAGTAGCAGGGAGAGAACTGTACCTTGAGTCAGTTCTTGGCTATCTTCTAGGCACTGGTGTAAGTAATGTGATGACATGAAGTTGTCATTTACAAATGAGTTGAGCTACATTGAACACACTTGTTAGTGGTTTGAAAAATCCATGCATACTGGGTGGTGGAGGCGCACACCTTTAATCCCAGCACTTGGGAGGCAAAGGCAGGCAGATCTCTGAGTTTGAGGCCAGCCTGGTCTGCAGAGCAAGTCCCACGACAGCCAGACTAAACAGAGAAATCCAGTCTCTAAAAAACCAAAACAAAGCAACAAAATGCATAGACTTAGCTTCATACCTGGGACGTCACAGAAGAAGCAACGGCATATAGGCAGAAGGGCAGCTGATGGGGTCTATACGTGGACCTGATCTGAGCCCAACTCTTTCCATGCTTTGGCTTCTGTGCCTGGGTGATAACCAAAGTGAGATGGTATCCACAAGTGCATCCTATGGAGAGGACTGTCATGTGCCAAGGGCCCCAACATACATATTTGTCCCTGGCTACAATGAGACTGTATGCAAATAAAAGCTGAGGACATGGGTATGACCCCAGAGCAAATCCATGTGCTCATAGACCAGAGGCCTTCCCTTTACCTCTGTAGCTTCTGCTTGAGCCCTGGGCGGGTCCCTGTTTTGGGCATTATCTTGTGCTCCCCAGTGAGGAGGCCAGCACCTGTCAGTGAAGTAGGCCTTCATTCCAGTTCACTTTCTCATGAACTTTGCTTATCCAGGAGGAGTGAGGACCAGGGCACACATCATGGGTTCTTTTGGGTTCTTTTTGGTCAGAGGATCTGTTCATTTAGCCAACATCTACTGAGTACTCCATTCCTGGTATGACCTAAGTGGACATATGATGGGAAGGAAACATATTGTCCCTGTCCTTAGGGAATCCACTCTCTCTCTCTCTCTCTCTCTCTCTCTCTCTCTCTCTCTCTCTCTCTCGGAGAGAGCATGCAGATAAGGAGGCACACAAGAAAACATCAATCAGTGATGCATGGCAGAGTGAAGGAAGGACAGTGATGGAAAGCTTGGGAAGGGTGGGCATGGCAGAGGCTGACTTACAAGACATTGGCCATTGTTTATGTGGGAGAGGTTTCCAGAGTGAGGGCAGCTACTGTCAGTGCTCTAAAGTGAGAGTGAGCTGGGAATGGTGGAAGGCGACCAGAAGGGCTGCAGTCAGGAAGGAGGGAGATGGTGGAAGGGCCTGGAAAAGGGAGGCGTGGGAGGGTATTCCAAGAGCTCTGAACCACAGAAACTTAAGAGTTGCACATTCTCAGGCATGAGACAGTGTTCTGGAAACAATGTGCAGTCCTCTGTGTTTATTGCACCCAAGTTCTGCCTTTCTGGAAATTCCTGGAATGGTAGCCTCCCCCAGTTTCCCACCCTGGCTGCTTCATTTCACTCAGGTCTCCTAGTCAAACAGGGCAACAGAAGTCTTGTCAAGGACTGGGGGTGTAGTTCAGTTGTAAAATGCTCGCCTAGAATGCAGGAAGTCTTAGGGTCTGTCTCCAGCACTGACTAAAACTGGGTGTGGTAGCTCATACTTGTGATCCCAGAACTGGGGAGGTAGAGGCAGAAAGATCAGCAGTTCAAGACCATTCTCACCTACATAGCCAGTTCAAGGCCAGTCTGTCCCACAGGAGACTTGTCAACTATTATTGCTACCCCCTTTTCATCTTATTCTCCAGAGAAGGAACTGGGTGTTTCTTAAGGGATTTCAGTGACCCAATCAGAGCCAACCCTAGTGCCTTCTGATAACTGAGGATCTAAAGGCCATAGGGAAGACTGTGACAGCTTCTGCTTATATCAGCCACTGTTCCTACTGTTAACTCCCTTCTCTAGAAAGTTCTGGATGAGGGATGGCCAAAGACAGTTGGGCAAGAAGCCTCAGGGAAGCTGTTATTTCCTCTGTGTGATCAGAACTCTCTGTGCAGTGACATCTAAGGCTTTTATCCCAGCTTAACTTGGTGCAGACCCAGCATGCACACACACTAGGTTGGCAGCTCAACAGCAGGTGACTTCCCTTATTGTCATGATTTCTGTCCCAATACTGAGATGCTTGCTATGGATTAGACATGAAGTATTCCCCAACAAAAGCCAAAGTGCTGAAGACATACTCTTCAGATGTACAGTTGAGAGGCAACTAGGTCATGATGACCTTACCTTCATCAATAGATCAGTCACTGGTAGATTCACAGTTGAATAGGCTGTCAGAAGGTGGGGACTACTTAGAAGAAGGAAGTAGGTCTCTGGGATGGGGTGACTTTGGGTACATCTTATCCCTGTCCCCTACCCCTGGACATCATAAGGTAAGCAGTGGTCTTCCATCATGTTTCTGCTTGTTATGATCTTAAAAGCAATAAATTGAAGCAGGTGACCATGATTGCAATCACTGAGACCATGAACTAGGTTAAATTTTTTTCTCCTTTTACAATAATTTTCTTGGATATTGTGTCATTGTATTTAAAATCATGCTCAAAAAACTATAGCTGACCTGAAGATATCCAAAGCACTGATCTGTCTTGTGTGAGCGCTCATAACACTGCCCAGGAGATGGGCAGTCAGAGGCACCACTGTTCAAACCACAGCCGTCAATAGAAGATATCGCAACACCTTATGATGGGTGTAGTCAACCAGCACATCAACCTGTAAAGGATGACCCAAACTATAGGGGGAAGCCACACCTAGTATGACCTCCCCCCTTCCTTAAGAAAAAAGTACACACATAGAGAACCCATTTCTGTGTAAACAAGCTTGTCAGCAAAGGTCAGTCCTGGGGAATAAATCTCAACTGTCATTGCTAGGTATCACTGGATGTGAAAAAGAGAAGGCTAGGGACATGCTCATAGATTGCTGTATCAGAACTTTTGATGGGACCTAGATAAGGAAGTGGTGTGTGTGTGTGTGTGTGTGTGTGTGTGTGTTTCTGTGACTCAAAAGTTGGACCTTGGGAATGCTAGATATGTGATCTATCACTGAGGTCCTTGCCTGGCCCAGGGATATGGATTTAGCATACTCCCCTTGGGGAATCCTCTGTATTAAAGTTTAAGAACTACTGTCTGATACAATGCAGTTATAAGCCCGTGTCTTTTGTTACTGTTCTGTAATGTTTGTGGCTTAAAATTGAGCAAACCTATCGATGCATTTGTCAGAGAAAAGCAGTAAGGATGCCAAAGTATGGGGGAAGCCATCTCTTCCAAGCAGCTGCCCTGAGAGTCAGTTTGGAATCCTGTATGAGTCATATTTATTTGTCTTGAATATGAATCTAGCAGGAGATTGTTCCAGAAATCTTCAGGGTTCAAGATAGAGCTGCTGCCTCTCTGCTCTCTGCTTTTCCTCTGCTCTGAAGGAAGAGCTTCAGAAGGCAGTGGGCAGAATGCTTACCCATCCCCACAGTAGAGCCCAAAGGAGACTGCCAAGCTCCCTGCCGTGCCCCCTCCCCCAGTCTCCTGGGAGCATGGGAGGAAAGGCACTGAAGACCATGAGAGGCACCTCGCTGAGGGAGGGGGCATTTCTTGCTATAGTGCAGGAAAAACCTCCACAAACAGCTTTCCTTTTAGTTAGCTTAGTTTTCCTCAGATCAGTAGCACGGAAGGCAATTCAAACTGGCCCACAAATGTCAGAGAAGTTTCCATAGCAACTTGAAACTTCTTTCTTGACCCTGTGTTTTGGAGTCTCAGTCTCCAAAGAAGCCCACAAAATAGTTCCAGGATCAAACTGGCCACCTCTCTGGCCACTCCAAACACGTTCTGCTGAAAGGACGGGGCGGGGTGGGGAAGGGGGGCGGGGCGGGGCGGGGCGGAGAAGCTTGCTGGGAGTACAGCTTGTCAGGAGGCTTACAGAGAGATTGTAAACCGGGGAAGAGCTGCCTTTCCAAGTCTGAACTGGGAAACATTTACCCCGGGGAAGGGACTTGAAGCGTGAAGACAGGAAGTGGGGCAGGGCAGCAAGAACCAAGAGTTCTTTCTCCAAAAGCTGGCTCTTAACCCATTGCCATTGGCACGGTGAATTTGGTCTCTAAGAGCGATCTTGCCCCTATTTTATTTTCCTTGCAGCGAGACAAACCAGGATATATTCTCTTGTTCCCGCTCTTTCCCCTGCCTTCCATGTGTGTGTATGTGTGTGATTGGCAGATCATAGTAAGCCATTTGATTTCAGAAAGCCCATGGATGCCTGGGGGAGGGAGGAGACGAAGGAAAGCAGCATTCCTAGAAGAATTTAATTCAGATAAACAATGTTTTTTTTTTTCTTTTTTCAATCACATCCATTTTATCTTTGGAGCTACTTGCATTAAACTCTTCTTTGTTGGGTTCAAGTTGCACCAGGGTTCAGTTTTTTTTTTTTTTTTTTAAATGTAATGTTCTCTGGCAATAGTAGTGGAATGGAAGTTTTACTGCCCCCTGGTGGCTAAGAAGGAGTACAGACCTGGGGTGGTACCCGCTTATTCAGGATGCTGAGGAAGCCTTCCTTCCCAGGGCAGAAGTAATACATGCCTGGAAGACTTTTTATGGAGGGACAATAGCTTACCAGGTATGACTGAGCATGAGTTAAATCACAGAGTGAGTTCTTCCAGTAAGGGGACTATGAGTATCTGTGCCAACCCAGGCACCAACCCTGGATCAACTGCTGCTGTACAGCTAGGAGACCTTCAACATGCCTTCCTCATCTCTAAACTTGGGCAGCTCTTCTGATGAATGGAGGACATTGGCATGGAATGCTCAGCCCCAGAGCTGGGCCACCTGCCTAAGTGATGCTATTATCTCAATACCTCATGTAACAGCATTAAAGTTCCCACTGAAGTGAAAAAGCTGGAAATTCATTATGAAACAAATGCACAGG